AGATAGAATTAGCTTTGTGTATATATCCCAAGGCTACGACCAAAATTAATAAAATGAAAATCTTTTCCACAAAACTCTATTAGTTTGATGATGAATCTGGGCTCTGGATGAAACCTGTGAAGGACATCGATCGGGGGATGTGGCATTGTTCACATGCCATCGGTATTGCTCGTGTGTTCGCATCGGTGAATGCCCTTAATTTGTTGGACAAGAACTATGCTTATCTTGGTGGTTATCCATCTCGCGGCTTGTTTCATTTCATGATGGTTTATAATGTAGCATACGGATTAGAAGCTGAATACTTCAGGCGAATTGAGAGTGAATCCGATACAATCGTCAAGATAATTAGTTTCAAATTGGTTTTTCCCCAGCTTGTCCAATGGAATTTAGTCGGATCTATTTAGAGCTTAACTCGTGTGTGTGTGTGTGTTTCTTAAATTTTTTCTATAATGGGTTAATCGTAATCTTTTCTTTATTCTGCATTTTAATTCTTCATCTGTTATGTTGGTTATTCATCTTCTCTAGTAGATAATGTTTGCGTGTTTATACTAGTAACTCTCGTTGAATTTAATCTTAAACTTAAAGATATATGTGCATGCTCCGTGTGCAACTTTTTTTCTGTTGTGGGGATGGAGAATAATTTGACAAATCATGTTGTATCTATAAAGAAAATTGTCAGCTCTGGTGCAAACAAATCTTGTTATCTCAACCTGCAAGAACAATAAATCCTAGCTATTAATTAGTTTTTGGTTTTATACCTACTTAAATTTACTTACATAGGGGCTGTTTGGTTCGTTTCCTTGATATAGAGAAATGCAATTCCATGTAAAGAAACACAAGTTTTGAGTTTTCCAAACTTTTTCAAGAAATAGATTGTTTTGCTTTGGTTCGCACATAAAAAATGGTGGGAAACCAATGTATTTATTTTTCTTGTGTTTGGTTCGCATAGAAAAAAAAGGAAAACTTTTGTAAACAAAGCAGAAAAGGAAAAAAATCTGATGTGGCAGAGTTTTCATCAATTTCACTTGGTTGGGGAAGGAAATCGGAGAGGGAAAAAAATCTTAGTTGGCGGCGATTTCAGCAGAGTTTTCCCTCTTCCATTCGAGCGAACCAAAGCGGTACAAAGAAATGGACGAAAACAAAAAAGCTGACGTGAAGGGCTAAAAATCTGACGTGAAGGGGTTTTCTGAGTTTTCCATCCTTTATAATAGCGAACCAAACAGCCCCATAGGTGAAAAGGAAAACATAACAGATTATCATAATAATACAATTTAAAACCTAAGGAAAATAGAATAAACATCTAATTGGGATTCTAGAAAATAATAGGAATGAAAATTATAATTTCAAATCATCATGGTTTCAAGATTTTATTTTATTTTTAACGAAAATTTCAAATTCTTTTTATTATAATAGATTTTCACTTATAAAAGAAAGATATATAATCGCAATTAATCTAATTATCGGATGATTTCAATCCCATATTTGTAAAACTTGGATCATCTCCACCATAAGAAAGTAGTGAAAAGACCACTATTTTTGGGAGTTGTTTGGTTCACATGAAATAGACTTACAACAATAAATATAGCAACAAAATTTCTATTTACAATGTTTGGTTTACAACAAGATAGTTGGTTATGGCACTAGAAGAAAAGCGCACATCCTAGACGGAATATTCTAAACAAAAATTTTCCCGTCTAGGATGATATTAAACTAGACAGAATATTTTCGTTTAGGGGGGGTTAGTCACCTAGAACTTTTTAAGTAGAACTGGGATAATTGGTAAAGTGGGATAATATTAGCAAATTCTAGTGATAACTATAAAATATAATGCAATAAAGCATCACTATTCATCTCAAATAATAAAATAATTTACAAATAAATAAAAATTTAAATCCCTAGAGTGACTCGACTTCCATCATCCCACATGGTTTCTATCATCCCACATGGCATCTGCCATAGAATTTCTCCAAGCTCCTATAACTGCTTGTTGAGTCTGTAACTCGTCTTCTTTATCGGAGTCATCGTCTGCATCAGCAACATTTCGTGGAGCTTCTAGTGGAGGATCATAAATGTCAAAGTTCAAATCTCATAACATCATAAAGAAAAAAAAAAGCATTTTTCAGCCATTAACCCTTTGGACCAATCTCATCATGATCGCTGAAACCAAATTAGCAAATAAATGAAATGTACACAGGAATCATCCATGGCCACTAAACAGATGATCGACAGGTGAACTATAAATATCCTAATCAATTTACTGAGCTGATTTAATAATAATAGATATCACCATTAACCATTCAACATCTAATCATTAATGTGATCGCAAAGTTTCTTTCTAACTTATAAAAAAAACATAAATAGCCCGCATATCTTTAGCACTAACCCACCAACACTATATTCTTAACCTAAACCACTGTTGTGGAGAGAAAACTTAGATCAAACAAATAATAATAAAGTAATTTAACGTCAAAAAGCTATCAATAAAGTAATACATCTTGAAGATAATAATAAAAGATCTAATCATCACAAAAACAAAGTAAAGACAGAAAAATGAACGGATGATTGACTTCATGGCAGAGAAATTTTCTAGGCGGAGAAACTAACCAAGAGGGAGGGAGACAGTGTTTCACTTTTTTTTCCCAATTGTATTCTTTCCAATGCGTGGGATAATTTGAGAGAGGAGAACTTATGGTTATATATATATGTAGTATAATTTGTGGGATAATTATGACCAATTATCACAATTCTAATTCTAGTAGAATTCTACTTGACTAACGCACCAAAAAAATTATATAATTCTAGTTCTACAAAAGTTCTACTTGACTAACACTATAAAAAAATATCATACTTCCTAAATCTATGTGACTAACACCTTAAAAATTTATCCCACAAATTATCTCAGTTCCAGTTTTAAGTTCTAGATGACTAACCACCCCTTAGGATATTCCGTCTAGGATAAATTATCCTAAATGGAAATTTCCATCTACAATAACAATGTAGACGGTTTTGTTATTTTATTTTTTTTTAAATTGGCTAAGTATCCTAGATGAGAATTTTCGTCTAGGATACATCCTAAACGGAATATCCTAGATGTAAATTTCTGTCAAGGATTGACGGGCATTTTAAATTTTCATTTTCGACCGGCCTTCAGATCCCGCTGCTCAAAAAATTACCCCCTTATTTATCAAAAACCCTCTCAAAATTTTCATTCCCCCTCTTTCTAAAAACTTCCAAACCTTGAGCTTCCCTCCTCCCCGTCGTCGGCTGCATCCCCCCTTCATCGACGGCGTCTACGTCCGCAACGACGCCAACCCCTATTCTAGGGATGGCAAAATGGATCCAAAACCAATTGTCCACCCATATCCACCTGCCAAATAAACCAACCAAACCCACCCATTTAATTAAATGGGCCATAAATAGGTGAGTATAGTTTCTATTAAAGATAAATGGGTCATTAATGGGTGTGTTATTACCCACCCATTTGCCCATTTAGATGGATATTGTTTTATAAACACCCTCAACGCTTCAAAAATTACAAAACTTATTTTTAAAAGTTAAAAATTATAAAAAACACTTAAAATGACTAACAACCCCTTAAAATTTTGAGATTTGCAAAAAATACCCTCAAAGTTTAAAATATTATAAAAACATCCTTAAGAGTTAAAAATTATAAAAAAAACTATCAAAATTTTCTAACCTCACAGATGACACATGAAATTCAAAAATTACCAACAGCCCCCTGAAATTTTATAATTTACAAAAAATACCCTTAAAAGTTATAGAAAATGAGAAAAACACCCTCAAGACTTTAAAATTACCAAACAATCTTAGAGTTTTCTAAACTTGCAAATGACACATGAAATCTAAAATTTTTTAATAGTCCCCTATAAATTTAAAATTTGTAATTAACACCCTCAAAGTTTTACATTTTTAAAAAAACACCCTCCATAGTTTAGAATTACAAAACCATCCTGAAATTTCAAAACCTACAAATGACACATAAAATCCAAAAATTACTAGCAGCCCCCTGTAAATTTATAATTTACACAAAACACCCTCAAAATTTAAAAATTGTAAAAAGCACCCTCAAGAGTTCAAAACTACAAAACAATCTTAGATTTTTCTAAACTTGCAAATGACACATGAAATCTAAAAAAATTTGGTAGTCCCCTATAAATATCAAATTTGCAAATAACACCCTCAAACTTTTAAAAATTGCAAAAAACACCCTCAAGGAATTCCTTTTGGTAGTCCCCTATAAATATACGCTTATTCACCTTCACAGGTTCACTAAAATTACATTTCATGTATTCTGCTTTACTTCCACTAATTCTATTAATGATAAGCAACTGTTGTGTGTAATAAAATTATACAAAAGGTGATCCCAGGAATTCCTTTTGGTAGTTATTGTCCATATGCTGTCGATATGCAAACATACGGGATTGATGTAGTAATTTGAGAACTTGCATGCATAATCTCATAGTATATGACATTATGAAATCATAGTCCAATCTGTACCCACAGGCTAAATGCTGAAGAGTTAATCATATGTGATAACTTAATAATGTCTATCTGCAGTTGGCAAAGCCCCACAAAAGAGATTTTCCCAAGTAGTCGATTCAACTGAGAAAGAAATATTTACAGAAAACCCTCTGAAAGTTTGCAGAAACCCACCTTGAAAGTTTGTAAAAAACCCTCTGAAAGTTTATAGAAACCCCCTTGAAAGTTTACAGAAACCCCCTGAAAGTTTGCAGAAAACCCTCTAAAACTTACATATATAGAAGCATCATAATCATAACTAAATGGGTTATTGGGTCACCCATGAACCACCCATTTAGTAAATGAGTGGTTAAGAAGTGACCTATTTAACAAATGCTAAATGGGTCATAAATGATCAAGTAGTCATAAATGTGCCCACCCATTTATGGCCCAACCAAGACCCAACCAAAACCACTCATTTATGGGCCTATTCGAACCCGGCGTGGGCCACCACTTCTTCGACGGCGTCGAGATGATCCACTCTGTCAGGATCCGCACGACCAGGCCTCTTCCGCTTGGTCGACCCCTCGCACGGGACTGGCGTCGCCAACGCTGGCCTCATCAAGGGTCAAAATTGATTCCTCCGCTTTAGATAAACTCTCTTCTCAATCGAAGAAACCCTCTTCGATCTCTCCCCCCAAAACCCTACCACCCACAAACCCTAAATTTCTAACCATTAATTTCTGCAGCAATGACCATTTAGCCATTAATTTCTCTAAAGGAGGTTATGGGAGTTGAGGTATTTGCCCTCATTTTGGTTAATTTTTGTTATTTTCAATTTAGTACATTTATTAAAGCGATAGCAACAGTTTAATTGAGTTATTCCATTGGATTTTATCTCTTATCTGGCAGTTTTTGGTTGCCAAGAATTGTAAGATTAGTTATCACTGACCTATTTTACTAATCTGTAAATATGCAGGAATGAAGTATTGATTTTGTCGATGATGGTTCTTGAATGTATTTGCTTAAAAGTTTAGCTAAACTAAACTATTTTGTAGTTCACCACAGTTCACTTGTAATAGCTGTGCTCCTAGTTGTATAGGGAGGTCGTAATTAGTGGTACTGAGGAATGAGAACTTCCCCTTTTTAGATTTACCCGCTATTATTCTGTTAAAAGAGAATTAAATATGGATTTCTTGTACATGCTTCAAGTTTTTGCACAGATAAAAATTTCAAAATCTTTATATGTATCAGCAGGTTATTTTGAGGGGAAGGAGCTGGGAGGAGAATTCAGGGGAGGGGAAGGAGAAGGGGAAGAGTAAGGTTGATCAGCAGGCTATTTTGAGGACCCAGGTAACACTAAATATTTTGCAATGTGAATGAGTTTAGATTTGATGATGAATGTGTTGAGATTGGAAAGATAAGATTTTTATGCAAATGTGATATGTGACGTTGAGTAAACTTCACTTCTTGATCAGTAATTCAACCTTGATAGAAATGTTTCATTGAATTTTAGAGCTATTATTAGCTTATCTAAACACTGCATTGTACATGTGCATTGGCTAGTGTGTTTTCTGTGCTAAAATTTACTTCTGATATCTGGTTAATCTTATAACAGGTATTTATCCTCCACAAGTGAAAGTGTTTGCGTTAAGGCAGTTGTTGAAATTTGAAAGACACTTTGTTTCAGAAATCATCGACTTTCAGGTAAATATCAGCTACACAGTTCAGAAATTTACCTCAGTTCACTTAAGAGTTTAGAAATTTACCTCAGGTAAATATCAGCCACGTTCATAAAGTTGTTTAGTTGATTCAAGCCCTGAACAACTTTTTATGGTTTAATGGGAGTTGCATTTAATATTTATTCCTATCCATGCTCGGTTATTCTTCTTGTTTAGTGTACAAATTGCTTCCCATTTTATGATTTCTAATATTACATAAAGTTGACAAGGAAGATGTCCGAACATGCATGAGGCAATAAAGCAATAAAAGCAGAATATAGGAAAGTTTACTTTTAGCAGTGACAAGAGTGTACAGATCAAATGGCGAAGAAATACCTATATCGTTCTTGTTTCCGTTCTAGCCTCTAAACACAAACTGGCATCATAACCATACTCATTGTTAGATAATATCTAAAATATTGCAAACAAACAAGGCAGCAATAGTCAACATCAAGAAAAAGATAACAACAATTCGAAGTAGTAAAATCATCTAATATACTCAAATACCAAAATACAAAATTTGTAAAAAGAAATAGCCAAGTAAAATGAATCAGCCAAAGTGCAACAACAAGAAATCAACCGTCAAATATAAAAATTAGGCATAATAACTTAATAAGTAAAATCTGGAATCTTGCTGCTGCAACTAAGCTAATATGGATGGTACATCTTAAAAAAGATCTTCTTTGGATCGATCAAATGGGTTCATAGCACTTATTTACAACAAACAAATATCTGGCTTTATATTTCTGCTTGGATGCTCTCGAAATATACATCTTGTGCCTTTATATTTGGCCCTCTCATTGTATTGTACTTATTCATCAAAACTTTGGTAGCCTCATCTCCATCTCTAACTTATAACTTGAGTAAGATGTATGCAGACACTAACAAGAAAGCTTGTTAGGAATCCATCCTATGCTCTTTCTTCGAGTTTTGCAGATGAGCCAATGGAGATACCCCTCCAATGTATCACTACCTTATAAAGGGTATAGGTGAGTATTTTTGTGATACAAACCATGAAGTTCTTTTATGAATACTTACTAAGGGATACTGATGTGAGGGTATTTTGAAATTGTAACATGGATGAAGATTGGGAAGATAATGATGGTGCTCTCAATGCGATAATGATGTTATTCTTCATAAGTGAATAAACATTTGATTTTTTGAGTCACTCATTAACTCCATCTTTGCAAAATTTATCCTGAAATTTTCATGAAAACTTATCTGATATATGCGATAGTGTTCATCACTAAGCTTGATAATACTCCTTCATTTTTCAGGTACTATACGATTATTGAAGCCGATCACATCTTTTTTATTGTAAATCAAGAGAGAGCAGGAGTACAGTTCAGCAATTTGAATTAGAAGCTCTCAATATGCTGAGTGTAATACTAATTATGACTTGAAGCATTGAAAGTTCTCTGCGGTTCCGATTGTAAATAAACATATAAATAGAAAATTAGTTATTATCTATGTAAACAATTTATGTATCACGTTCCTTTTGTTAATAGAGATTATTAGAGTAGTTGGAATCTTTGTAATGCTAAATTAATGTAGTTCATCTTGGTATAATCTTACTTGCAGAATCGATGTTTCATTTTTTTTGCTTAATTCTTCAATGCACAAAGTAGATTCCTAACCAGGCAAGCAAAAAAAAATAAAAAATTGTAGCATAAGTATCCTAGACAGAAATTCTGTCTAGGATACTTACTATCTTAGACGAAATTCATTTCCGTCTAGGATAGTAGGTATCCTAGACGGAATTTCCGTCTAGGATACATCCTAGACGGAATTCATTTCCGTCTAGGATATTTCGTCTATGATGCTTTCTAGACGGAAATTTCATCTAGATACTGCATCCTAGACGGAATTTTATTGGACCAACATGCTAGACGGAATTCTGTCTAGGATAGACATTTTAGACAGAAATTTGACTATCCTAGACGGAATTTTCCGTCTAGGATACTCCGTTTTTTACCAGTGTGCTAACTAGATTTACTTTTTGTAGAGAAAAGTTTTAGTATTTGTTGTGGCCAAATTGGCCACAACTAGTATTGCAAGTTTGCATTAGCTAAAAAACTAATATCATGTTAGCAAATTAGTGAATTCTACCCTAAAAAGTATACATCTTTTTACATTTTTAGAGAAACAAACACTTTATTGCAATGGATATGCATTTCCTACTATTAAAAATTGTAAATCTATTAACTTTTACAACTAACCAAATATTAGATTTGGAATTGGAAATATATTTTCCACAACAAAAATGTAGATAATTTGGTATTTATTTCTTGCAATAAATGGATCATGCAACATTTCTTGCGTGCAACGTTTATTACAATTACAATTGTAGTGAACCAATAGGCTCTTAATACCCATCATGAATTACATATTGAGTGATTATGATGCATTCTAAATCTAACACTTATCGTACTCATCTATATATTGTACTTATTCCTAATTTGCATTCAGAGAAAGAATTATAACCACCCATTAAATAATCAATAATTGTGATTAAGTAGTGGTCTCTCCATTATTTTTTTGATAGTGAAGAGAATATTTGTAGTCTACTCTCGTAAAAAAGACCTCCTTAAATATAGACTTCTATAGGTATCAAATTATAGTTTCAATCCCTTATTTGTAGTCTATAATATAGACTTCTATAGGTATCAAATTATAGTTTCAATCCCTTATTTGTAGTCTATACCAACGAAGTTCTCCTTTATCAGTCACTGATATCCTTCAACTCCCTAATCAGATCCCTAATCTCATCATTATCTGCCCAAACCCCAGCAATCCTACTACTAACTACATCATCTTCATTATCATCACGAGTCTTCTTTGATTCTTCCCGTTTCAAATCACAGCACTTGCAACCAAACCTTTCCAATGCAGATATCAACGCTGCATCCCTCGCTTCGATCCAAGCTCTCTCAAATGCCCACGATCTTTCTTCTTGCTCGTAACGCTCTAGCTTTTGCTTCTGCCATTGTTCGTCCCTTGAAGCTCTCTCTTCCTCCATCCTCTCTATTGAATTTACCATTTTGTCCATCCAAGATTCCTGTGCCTCCATCAACCTCCTCATTTGTTTCTCGACTAACTCTTTTATCTTTAAACTCCATGCATTAATTTCATCTCTTTTGATCTGTTCGTCTTCTTCTTCTTCGCTTGATGTTGAGCTGTCGAGAGATTGAATGGGTTGAGAGGGAGGAATTTTGTTGGTGATGTGCAGAGAATTGGCGGTGTTGTTTTCACCACAGAGTGCTTCTAATTGCTTGAAGAATCTATAGTGCTTTCCATGGTTGTTGCTTTGGTTGCTTGCTTTGGTTTTCTTGTAGTATTTGTATAGGTTGTCGAGTTTTTCTTTGCATTTCTTTCCGCTTCTTTGGTACCCATGTTCTTCTGCCATTATCCTGCAATCAATTGCAGAGAAAAAGCATATATAGTTCCTTTTATTTTGATTTATTCAGTGCTAAAAGGGATGATTACAAAACAAAAAATCCCTCCATATAGCTTTCACTTGTAGGAAATTGACAATTTTAAAAAAAATTTCCTAATATGTTTCCACACTCGAAAAATGAGTACTGTTATCAAATGCGTTTAAGTGAGAGTTTGTAATCTAACTTGTGAAATTTTTATTGAAAATAGACAGAGAGAATTCTTCTTGCTGGGTTTAGCATGTTTGGCTCATTGCAAAAACCAATTGCAGCAAATGTTGCATGAAGCATTTTTCAAGAAACCAGCTTCATAAATATTACATCGATCTTCTGCGAGGTGATAGGATTAGGCAAAGGATTTTCTTCAAAAATTTCCTAAAAGGATGCTGCCAAACATCTTGAAACTGAGATTAATAGGGGCTATTTTAAGTGAATGAAACTTTATAAAACAGTGTGAATGTAATATTTTTCTTGAGACTCGACAATACATGTAGTATAGGTATTTAATTCCAGATTCATGGCTTGCTTATAGGCCTAGTAGAAAGGGTTTCACAAATCTCTCTCTTGAGAAACACATATATAGCATGATTTAACTGCAATATTTGGCAGAAATAATAACATTAAATCTCACCTCTTTCCGTAAAACTATACTTAGGAACATGACCATTATTCTTAATGCATATCGTTTAGTATACGTACGTTAGCGCATATCATTCAGACTTCTATTAAAAATAAAACCATATCAAATTTGCTTCATTAAACTTTGGTCTGCAAGTTAATTAAATACCTGGAGACTTCATCCCAGAGGGGAGCCTTCTGAGCTGCAGGGTGCTGGAACTTGTGATGCAGGCGAGTCCTGATCTCCAGCAGCGTCAGCGTCTCCTGCCTCGGCCACCTCCCCTGCGAATACTCGTTACCGTTGCTGCAATTCTCACCCCCGTTGTTGTCGACGGCATTATTAGCACCAGAACCCAACATTTTCAGTTTTCTTCTTGCGTTCCACTGCTCTTGAAGCTTGAAGACGATGCTCCACCTTCTCACTACTTATTAAGCTCCACATGTAGGTAGGGTTGAAGAGGAATATAAATGTGACTACGATACAATATTCAGTATAGGGTAAATTTTGGAAAACCCCTTGGGTTCGGACGTTTATCAGATAGCCCCCTTAACTTTTAAAATGTCACAATTAACCCCAATTCTGTGGTTCTTAGAAAACCTCTTCAACTTTCAACATTTTCCGGTAAAAATATCCCCTTAAGTGATTTTAAACATCCATGTGAATATTGAAGTTAACTTGCTTCATTTGAGAGGATTTTTTTTTAATGTGAAATTTTGGAGGGTTTTTTAAGAACCTAAAACTTAGGGGTTTTGTCACATTTTGAAAGTTAAGAAAGTTATTTGAGAAATGCCTAAACTTAAGGGTACCCTTTAGTATATGTGTATCGATGTATATGAATATAAATATAACTATAGATATGGTTTTACTAGGAAAAAAAATTATATACATGTCCCTGAAAGTGGATGTGGTAAGAAATCGATCAGATTGGTGGGTGGGAGGAAAAACAACCCCAAATTTGCATAGATCATAGGCTACAGGAGGAAAAAGAACCCCAAATTTGCATAGATCATAGGCTACAAATTAACTTGTAAAATTCACAGGTTTATTCGATACGCCTAAAAATCCATAATTAGACCTCTGAAACATTAAAATTAGTTTCAGACCATGTAATAAAAGGAAAAAATAATTACAATTGTATTATCAATCAAAAATAAATGACTATCTAATAAAGGGCTAAAATACCAAATTGGTATATTTATACGAACGCTTTTGTCTGTTTGGTATTTTTAAAAACTCCGGCGACGACAAGGTATTAAAGCTCGTCCTTTTTGTCAATAAGGTACTTTTCTCAAAACCCCAACGAGAAATTTTGTTTTTAACCCCCTTATCTCCAAAAATTATTAAATTTGTGCCCTCCCTCTCCTCCTCCTCCTCCTCCTCCTCTCCCATTCCTCTCCCTCCAGCGCACCATAGTCCTCCACCTCCTCTCCTCCGTCCCCATCTCCCTCCTCCGGGTCAACCTCGGCCCCCTCATCCCCTCCCTCTCCTCCTCCTCCTCCTCCTCCTCCTCCTCTTGAGAAAATTTCTCATCTAAAGTCTTTCATTAATTTTCTTCTATGCAGGGGATCAAATAGCTCGTAAAAAGAAATCAAACTGACTGTAAATTACATTGAAATCATGAAATTTAAAAACCTTTTTCTCATGTACACTAATCTAGTAAATGTTTCAACTCTAATAAACTTTGAGAGAGTGAAGAACGTACCTAGAGCAATGTAGCCATAAGACCCAGCTATGGCAGACATACACTCAGAAGTCTCAGAATCCTGTAAGAACTTTGCCAGCCCAAAATCAGCAACATGAGCTTCCAAATTCGAATCCAGAAGTATATTATTCGACTTCACATCACGGTGAAGGATCAAGGGAGAACAATCGTGGTACAGATAGCACAATCCCTTGGCGGCCTCCACTGCAATCTTATATCTAGCATCCCAATGCAAAAACCCTCCTTTTTTGCCATGAAGAAGCTCGCCAAGACTCCCATTAGGCATATACTCGTACACCAAGAGATTGGTTTCATGATTTGAGCAAAAACCCAGCAGCCTAACGATGTGTCTGTGTCTGATTCTGCTCAGAGTTTGGATTTTAGCGTTGAACTCATGATCGTGTGAGGATGCCCGACTCATTGCTGGGAGTCTTTTAACGGCCACGTGATCGCCATTAGGCATCGAGCCTTTGTACACAATCCCGGCTCCTCCTTTGCCGAGGTTGACCCAGAGGAGGGAGATGGGGACGGAGGAGAGGAGGAGGACGATGGTGCACTGGAGAGAGAGGGGAATGAGAGAGGAGGAGGAGGAGGAGAGGAAGGGCACAAATTTAATAATTTTGTGAGATAAGGGGTTAAAAACAAAATTTCTCACATGACTTTTGAGAAAAGTGCCTTATTGACAAAAAGGACGACCTCGCCGGAGTTTTTAAAAATACCAAACTAGTAAAAGCGTTCGTATAAATATACCAATTTGGTATTTTAGCCTCTAATAAAGTATATATCGATAGTTAACATAAGAGAAGCTTCCATAGCTTGCAATCTGAGTGGTGGCAACTACGATTGTAAATGAACATTCTTATCAGTTTCATGTACTTTTTACAGGAACTACATTTGTAAATATCCATATGTTATGGTCTATGATATTATGCATATTTGTGCACAAATTGCACATGCAAGAATTGCTTCAAGGATCAAGATCCTCTCTACAACTAAAAAGTAGTGGAGAAACTAGTGCTTTTCTTAGCCATTGACTTGTTAATCGAAAGGTGTGATTTGCAGTATTGAGTGTGAAATAGGAATGAGCAATTTAATAGGGTTTTTTATTTTATGATGATTATTATTGAACCTTCTAACCATCCGGGTCACTCATGGTGAGTCGGCAAGTACAATCTTTAGAATGAATTACAATTGTCCATCACCATTTATTGAGTAATAAATGGTCTATATTAAAAGAGTGTGGTTTCTCCACAACTTGTTACTAGCTAGAAGAGAGGATTTGAGTCCTTGCTTCGTGCTCATAGGGCTATTAACAAAGTAACAACTAGAAAAGAATATGATGTCTCCTTCGGTAAGCAGGATTATGACGAAGTGAGAGTGGAGTGAAACAAAAATAGAATGAAATGAATGTGAAAATAAAATGCTCATTTTCATTCTCACGTTTGCATGCGATTAGAGAATAAATGGTCTATTTTAAAAGAGTGTGGTTTCTCCACAACTTGTTACTAGAAGAGAGGATTTGAGTCCTTGCTTCGTGCTCATAGGGCTATTAACAAAGTAACAACTAGAAAAGAATATGATGTCTCCTTCGGTAAGCAGGATTATGACGAAGTGAGACTGGAGTGAAACAAAAAATAGAATGGAATGAATGTGAAAATAAAATGCTCATTTTCATTCTCACGTTTGCATGCGATTAGAGAACGAAGAGAGATTGCGATTTTTTTAGTATGAGTAATTAATAAATAATTTAGAAATATTTAATATGTATTTTAACTTTTTTACTTTAACTTAATTAAAAATGTTCATTCCTTACCAACCGACTAAGAAAGTAAGAATGCTCGTTCTAACAAAATAGTGAAACGAAAGAAAGTAGAGAACGAGCGTTTCTCGGCTCCTAGCGAGAGGTCTGAATTGAATGAGCTCATTACCCCCTCCGCGTCCCGAGAGAGGTCCTACAGTAGTTGAGAGGGAGAGGAGCGGGAGAACCGGATCGTGTCGGTTACGAAACAACTGCGAGCGCGTTTCGTGTCGTGTCGTGGGTTGTGAACGGTAGCAAGCTAGCTCCGATCTGAGCACACGTAACATCTGAACCAATGAAACCCACACGCGTGCTCATGTAAGGACGCTTGAGGTGACGCGTGCACGGTGAAAAATCAGAGGACTCACTACTCGCTAGCTTCTTTTGAAATTTTTACCGAAGCAGCGGCAGGA